GCAGTAAATATTCCGTGCCACAGAGTTGTAACAGGCTAGATAAGGTGCTATCCTGACAGCAGTCAACTTCACTGCACACAGTTTCTATGGTGCTGCTAAAGCTGTCAGGGCAGAAACGTGGTCTTCAGAAGGTAATCTCTGTTTCATCTTTGTGTGTTCACCGAAGCAGTGCTGATGCTTTTTTTGGAGATGAGCTGTTGTTGTATCTTAGATCTGCATTTGAAAATTTCACTTTCAAATCATACGCCCATATGTCTAAAGTAGAATGTAGAATCGAACAGTGTCCGAGAAGTTCTAAGGGAAAGGTGGAGAAAATGGAATCTGACATGGTTCTTCTGGATCTGGGTCTGTCCTTTCTGGAAGAGAGCAGAGAAATTGGAGAGCATAGTGTGTCCTGCAGAGTTAAAAGGTCAGTTTGTGGAGAAAAGTGTGAAAGAGGAAGAATCACCGGGGCACTTCTGTCCTAGTGAAAAAAACTTAATTTTGCCCAGCTCCATTCTTGAGCCTTTCTGCCACTCTTCTTTAATATCTTCCTTTGCTCTCGGGACAAGACTGCAATCAATGTCTGCACACACACATGGCATAAAGTGAAAAGAGCACAGGAAAGAGCGCTGGGTTGGAATGCCAGTGCTACCACTCCCTAGTCTTGGGAGGTGGCCCTGCCTGAGCTGGTGTCCGCTTCCCCACCGGGTCAGAACTTCTGTCTGGGAGAAGTCCAGTATATACAGGAAGCACTGACGACCACAGCTGGCACCTGGCACAGAAGCAGCCTTTGGGAACATAAGCTGTTCTTCTTCAGTGGGTGGGTGATGGGATGTTGTATGTGCGGGTTAGGGTTCATATAGTAATCCATCAAAACTGACATTCTCTTCCAGTACCCAGGCTAGATAAGCAAAATGTACTCCCGTGCTCCTTCCTAATGTTCTTGTTAGTGATATGATGTTCGGCTGTGCTGTTCCAAGCTAGCCGAGTTGGCTTTTTGGTACCATTATTTCCTATGCTTGGACTGTTCTTAGCCTGTGAGGCTTGTTCAGACTCTATCTCGAAGGCTTCATTCCTTGAACTCTTCTGACTCCCTCAACAGATTCTGCTAGGCTCCACGGCACTCAGTGCAGGTGAGAAATCTTGTATAATCACTAGTTAGTGCTTTTTTTTCCAGAACTAACTGTTCCTATTGGTTAACCTCTTCTGACTGTAAACTCCCTGATTATGTAGACTGCTTTATTTGTCTTTGCTGTCCCAGGCTGTCGTACAATACCTGGCCCAGTTAGGTGTTCTAGAAATCTTTACTGGGTGGATAAATGAATGAATCCACTCCAGGATCCCATGTTTGCACCCTCTAGAAGTTTCCTTTCTTCCCTTCCTTTTTCCCCTTCCGTTCTCCCCCTGAGCACCTTCTCACATAGGCTGATCTGTGGCCTCCCAGCTCTGCACCCTGCCTGCCTGTGATTCTCTCAATGCTTTAAACCACTGTGTCCAACATATAGCTGTTTGCATATCCTTATCCGTGACATTTTCCTGCACAGTGCTGCCTGACAGTCTGCAGCCCATCATATCTAACGTCGCTGGCCAGCATTCAAGGCTCCCATCAGCTCGCTCTACAAGGCACTCTGTACTGTTTCCTGGTGCTTCCTCTTCTACCCGAATTACTTAGCACACCCAACTCATTGAATAGTTTTGAGCCTCTGCTTGCATTTTTTAAATTCTGTTTGACAAATGCTTTCCTAAAGCCTGCTAAGCAAAAAAAAAAAAAAAAAAACACTATGCAAAGTGCTTTCTAGGGTACAGAGATCAGTAAAACACACCTCTTGACTTTCAGGAAACCCACACTGGGAAGAGACAGACCACTGACTCACTCTGACTCGCTAGTACAAGGCAGGCCACGGGAGGTAGCGTAACAGAGGTACAAATCCAAGGTGTTGGATTTTAAAGACCAAAAAATCGTATCTGCTGGGGGATCTCAGGAAAAGTTCTGTGAGCAGCATCATATTTAACACTTTCAACGTATTATGATGCCAAATGGGGAGTACCAACATTAAAAGGAAAAAAGTAAGGCCAGGAAAAGGACCCATTTGTGCCAAGGCCGGAGGTGGGGCGGGGGGAGGAGCACTAGTGAGCAGGAGGTACGACCTGCCGGCAGCGTGTTCCCAGAGGGCTTAGACAAAGGGGAGACTATTCCTGCAAGACATTCATCCTGCTGTCTCTGCCCGTCGTGGGCTTCGAAATCTTTCTTCCAGGGTACCTTAACATTCAGTCCACCCTAATCAGTACCTACTACTTATAATTAGTTTTTAACTTGTAGGTATGCTAAATCCATTTACTTGTGGTTATTTCCTATGTCTCTATAACCTCCTTGGACAGATAGCTCGCGGGTGACCAAGACCAAGGTTTCTCTTCCCCTTTTCTCCCTTTTTCTAATTTTTTTCTTCTGCCTTAGCTCAGTACTTAAGAAGGTGCTCTTTCCCTTAGGCACTTAGTAGGGCCAAGGGTCTAAATTCTGCTGTTACCCCTTTCTGCATCAGAGATGAATGAGACAGGAGTCCTGCCCCCAGGAGAGTCCATATTATGATAACTAGTAATTATGTAATTATGAGCAATTTCACCTCTCTGGGCCTTGTTTTCTAATTTGTACAATGGGATTAATAATCCCTTTACTGCCCTCTTTAAATTTGCTAGTAAGGACATGTACGTGTAGTAACACTGTAAATTCTATAGCACTGTAGAAATCAAGGTTTTAATGCCAAGTGCTTTTTGCATCAGTGAAAGTCAGGAGTAATTTTCCTTCTTGTGCCCTAGCTGCTGAGCACATAGGTGTTCTGGAGCAGGAAGTTGCAGTTATAAGTGAGTAAATGAGAAGCAAAAGAGCCTTTCTCTCTTAAACTCCTCAGACATCAGGCCAGTGCTCCATGACTGCCTCATGAACATTAGCATGATTGCCAGATTACCAAAGAATTTGCTACTAAATGAAGCTAAGAATTAGCGGTGGTAATTGGTCAGACTGGGCAGGCCCTGGCAATCTGCAGCCTTTTTGCCTCATAGACAGGCCTTTAGGGGCGAGATGAAAAGTGGCCCTGTGTTGCTCCGGGCTGGCCTCCTGGGCAAATAAAGAAGTGCATTATCCGCATCTGAGTAGTCTCCAAAGGGTTCTTGTTGGAGATTGACGACCACAGTGCTAAGCCTTTCTTGTTCAGAAGAGTGAAAAGCAGCGTCCCAAGGGCTCCATCAGTGACAGGAACCCACATTGTCAGAAGGAACCATAGCCATAAAAATACCAGTGGAATTGAGAAATGGGTCCTTGTCATCAGAAGCATGGGCTAAGCACCTGCCATCTTAGGCCTGTGTGTGTGTCATGCAGACTGAGGTGTATTCCCCCCATTTCTCACTCCTGAGACCTCACAACCCCAAACAGTTGTCTTTTTTCTCTTATTTCCTTCATGGAAGTTTATGGAGCTGGGGTCAAACCAAATTCAGGCCCTGCCTGAGCTCACAGTCCACCTTCCTGAAATAAAGGGCGTAGGCGCTGGGCAGGTCAGTGTGACTGCAAGGAGAGGTCTCATGACAGACTGACTTGCCTGAGGTGCACTCAGAAATTCCAAGGAGCAGTGTTGGGCTTAAATAATCAGGAAGGGCTTTGTGGTACAGGTAGCTTAGCAGTGGACTGGACCTAAGAGACACGCCAGAGTTCCTGAGCCGGAAGGCAGGAAGGGCCCAAGCATGGAGATGAGCTCCCGGGCAGAAGTGTTACTGGCCACTAAGTGAGGGTGGTGGGAAAGAAAATATTCGAAAATTTCAGTGATGGGTCAGGGCTTTAACTCAGTGGCACAGCATCTGCCTGGCAAGCATGAGGTCCTGAGTTCAATTCCTAGTAACCACAAAAAAATAAATAAAATTGCAGTGATGATTGCACAACTCTAAATATTCTAAAAGCCACTAAATTATACAATTTAAATGGGTGATTTGTGTGATATGTAAGTCATAGCTCCATAAAGTTGTTTTTAAAAAAGAATCCACAAGAGAGATGGGGACAAGTCTGACAGGTCTGGGGTTATAAAGGATTGGGAAAAGACTCCCTTCATCCATTAGAGCTTCAATGTAGAGGGGTGTTGGACTCATGAAATATAGTGGGAAAGTGGCAGCATTTTGCACCCAACAAGACTTGAGCAAAGGGATGTGTGTACAGTAGTAGAGTGCCTGTCAGTCCCACCTGGGCTCCAAGACAGAGTTACAGAAAAAGGGAACCTTTCTCCCCTTTGTTCACTTGCCTTGAAAGGGAAAGACTTATGTGTATCTGGTGGAGAGGTTATTTGTGGAGGAACAGACCACAGAGTAAAGAAAGAACTAGAACAGAGGAGTTCAAAGGTTCCCTGTACGAAGAAATGATGAATTTTAAGGAAATGGAAATGGTAATTACCCTCACTTGATCATTTTACTTTGTACACATGTATCAAAGTACCATACTGTACTCCATAAGTATGTGCAATTAATGTGTCGATTGAACATTTATTAAAATAAAGACCAGAAGCAATACAAAGTTGAAGTATATGTCCCTTCGGCATATTTTCTTAGGTTAAGTATGTGGGCAAGAGCATTTTGGCCCTGACTCATGAGATAGAAAATAAATGGGCTTTGAACCTTACTCTTGGGACCTCTATACTCCATTCACAATGAGGAGACCAAGCTGGATGGGGTAGCATGGGGCTGTAATCTCAGCACCCAAAGGCTGAGGCAGCAGGATCATGAGTTCAAGACTAGCCTCGGCTACATAGCAAGACCCTGTCCCTCTCTTCTCCCCCAAAATTGAGGTTTGTGAGATAAAAGAAATCTCTCCTTAGGAAAAAAAAAAAATGATGAGCTCAAGAAAGGTCCTTCAGAGCCATGGGCGAGGGAAACAAGTCAGGATGATGAGGTTTTCTTCAAATTTTGTGGCCAGACCAGAAACCAGTTCTTTGCCTCTCTGCTCACTAACCAGCTCATATCCCTGAATGTTTGTTTGTTTCTAGGACATAGTCCGGCGTGGAGAGATCATAGACAACGAGTTGGAGGATGAGTTCTACCTCCGGCGCCTTGATGCGGGGCTCTTCGTTCTTCAGCACATCTGCTACATCATGGCGGAGATCTGCAATGCCAATGTCCCCCAGGTAGGAGGGGCTTCCCCATGGACCTGTCCCTCTCTGCCTCCTTCCTGACCACCTGCTTTGTAGAGACTCTCAAGGAAAGAAATGAGTCACACTTCCTGGAATTTCCTCACTCTGTGTGGGCTCACTTTTTCAGGAGCGGGATGAGGTGAATCAAGAAGCTGTATTCCGGTCTGTCAAAACAAATGTTCCTTTTTCCTTCTCTCCATTCTTTCCCTTTGTTAGATTCGCCAGAGAGTTCATCAGATCCTAAACATGCGCGGAAGCTCCATCAAAATCGTCAGGCATATCATCAAGGGTGAGTTTGGTGTTGCTTGTGTCTGCAGCCTCAGGAGTTGTAGGGTGCTTACTTCTGAGTCTGGCAGCATCCCTGGTGTCTGGTGTAGTGTGTTCTACGTGAAAAGCGTAAGTGTGTCTTCCAGTTCACTGTGTGTCCAGGTCACCTTTGTCAGAATACTGAAGACTAACCTAGTTATTCTCTGCCTCTGACCCTCCAATACTAGAATTTAAATAAGCAGCATTAAGGCTTAGAAATATTTGTTAAAAATGAAAAAAAAATTTAAAGGGAAAACAAAAAATCTAGCTTCTAACTGCTTATAGAAGGAAAGAAAACAAGGACATGACAAGTAATCAGTGAAATCATGCAATCCGGAAAGCCATGAACCCAAGGCAGTGCAGAAAGAGCAAGCCTGTCCTCCGGTGCTTGCCCTGCCCCCAGCTGTGTGAGCACGATCAAGTTCATTGATTTCCCTGTGAAAAAGAAGAAATCATGCAAAGGTTATGGTAGGCCTTGCTTGGCATGTGGTGAGGAGGCTATGTTTCCCTCCTTCCCCACCCACCCCTTGGAGTCCTAATGCTATTAGATCTTTGGCTGGACCTGCCCAAGCTAGAGTGGCTCAGGAGGTCTCCAGTGGGGGAGCAAGCCTCCATCATGAGGCAGGGCCTCTGTACTGAGCTTGGGATGCAGCCCTGCTCTCAGGCCACTTGGGATACACATGGTAGGTGGAGGCCTATGTTGGGTGTTACAGTCCTGGGTGCCCCAAAGTTCAGAGACTGAAGATGGACTGGGTAACTACACACAGATCCATTTGCCTCTCTGGCCTTTGTTTTGCCAATTTCTAAGCTGAGGGGTTGGGCTAGACTCACTTGGGGTTCGCTTGCCAGTTGTCCATAGTCCCCCTTGCAGGTGTGAGAAAAAAAGTGAAAGTGAACCATACACATAGCAAAGTGAAGTAGGGACCTGGGGCCAGCTCCAAGTCTGTACTCAACCTTGCTTTTGCTGTGGGGCCTCAGGCAGAAGGCCCGGGTGCCCTGGGCCTCACAGAATGGCCCATAGGGTCGAATGAGATGATTGAGAGAGTGTCCAGGAAACAGTCTGCCCAAAAGACGCTCACAGTAGTACTAACTAGTGTGAGTATTCAGAAATATTGTGATAATCACCTTCATCATTATCATCAGTGAAGCAATGCTAACGTCCTGTGGGAAGTCTTGCACAAGAAATGGCACTGAACTGATCTGCAGGGCGGTGACAGGGCCATTCCAGAAGCAAATAGTGTAAGTGAAGGCTCAGATGGAAATCAGCCACCCAGGATAGCTCTCACAGGCAGGGGCTGTGGCATCCATTGTGCCCATTTCGTAGATGGAGAATATAAGGCCTTAGAATCTGCTGTTTTCTCCTGAGATAAAGGGGAATGTAAAGGGGACTTAGTGATGACTTTGGCCCTACATCTTGCCTCCCCCATGCAACCCTGGCCTTTCCCTTGTAGTCTGTGACAGATCCACGTGAATTCTGCTAGCGTGTCATTCCTCCACCTCCCTAAGGTGTAGCTGCAGTGATTTGCAGCTCCAGCCTTTAAATGGCATTTACTTCCAACGCCCACATGTTCAATTAGAACTTTTTATTACTCGCATCTCTGCTGTCTTCCATTTAGGCTTCTCCCTACGCCTCTATCCCTGTAATCAAAACAGTGATCCTCCAAGAAGGAGAGTGTCTTTAGCAGGTGCTGATGCATAGTAGGTGGGTGTTTTCTTTTTCAAACCCTGCTTTGCATACCTACGGGTGTTCAGAACTCCCTGTGTGAGGAGCTGACTCTGGTAGCCATGAGGACCCAAGCAGATGGGTTTTTGTTTTGTTGACCTGGGTCTGGGCAGGAAACCACACGCCAGAGCAGGGGAGCAGCCTGAGCAGTGCTGCCTCCCTGCTCCTCCTTTGCCTCTGTGCAGACTTCATACGGGTTCTCCCCACCTGAGCCCAGCTCTGCAGTTTTCTCCCAGTGCCCTTTGCGGCTGGTCCTTCAGGTAGTCCCACTACCTCTGCCTGCAAACCCCATTCGAAGCTTTCTGCTCTTCTCCATCTGCTATTCCCGTCCTAGCACCCTGTTGATTTCCTTCTGAGCCCTCATCACAATCTATAATTGTTTTTATTTATGTGTTTGTTTACTCATTTGTTCTCTCATACATTAAAATGTAAGCTCTCTGATGTAGGGACTTTGTCTGCCTTGATCACATGTCTCCTCAGCTCCTAGAGCAGTCAGGCTTATAATGGAACCAATAAATGTTTTAAATATTGTTGAATTAAATCCTCTTGTATGAGTTTAAAACTTGGCAGATGTTTCTTGAGATTTCTCAGGGCTAGCCAGGTGGGCTGCCAGGTCCTGAGCTTCGCAGGTGTCGCCGGCACCTGCCTCCATGGGGTTACAGTCTTCTGGGGGCATGGCTGTATCATTGGCCCACCATCGTTCAGGCAGAATGGAATGCCCAGCCCAGTGACCACTCAGCTGACATTGCTCAGGGCCGGGATCAGCATCCTGTGTATGAGATTTGGGAATGACTAAATGAGATCCCCATCCTTGCAGCGTTCACAGTCTAGTAATTGCAGCATGCTAAGTGCTACGTTAGAGTTGTGAACAGTGTGCTCAGGGGCAGCAGGCAAGCAGCAGTGGAGGTAGAGGAGGGAGCGGCTAGAATGGTATCCAGGGGAGGCTGTTTAAGGGAGAAGCACATCGCAGACAGAGGAACAGAGGTCTAGAGGCAGACAGGATTCAGTGGCCTTGGTGGAACAGGGACGTGGCTGAAGCACTGGGTAGGGTAGGGGTGTTGCCAGGCAGGGCTTGTGAGTTCTGTGAGGTGTACAGTGAGTTTGGGCTACAGGTAGTGACCTGGATTCCTTTGTTGGCCAGCAGCCGTGAACATCCTCCTAGAGCCCAGGAGAGATGCTAGTTGGGGCACTGGAAGTCACTGATGTGGAGGCGATATTGAAAGCCAGGGAACTGAACACCATTGCTCAGCTTGCTGAGGCCTTCAACGTGAAAGAATTCTGTACAGATGGAGACTTAAAATAAAAGATTCTTGCCTCCTTCTGTTGACACAGCCCTGCCCTGACTCACCAGAGGAAGCTGGAGCCTTTGCAGAGTGGCTGCCTCTGAGTTCAGCCCCTGAACACAGCACAGTAAGGACCCTCAGTGTCAAGGTCAGAGGGGCGAGGCTGGAGTGGGGTTGGAGCTGGGCTCTGCAGCTCCTCTTCCAAGCCCATCTGCTCCTTCCCCTCCCCCACCCTTCCTTCCATCAAAAAGTCTGAAAGAAACAAAGCCTCATAAAACAACTAGCTCATCAGCCTGTCCTCTTTGATTTTAATTCTGTTTTTCAGTTTGGGTTGCTTCCCTTTTTTTATTTTTTTACCATACTAATTAGATGCAAGCTTTTTTCTTTGATTTTATGGCCTACATATTTCCTAAGTTTTGCGGCAAAATGACAGCTGATGTATCCCTGGAGGTCTCAGGAAAACGCTGATGAGGCAAGCCCAGCAGGGGACATTTTCCAGGGTTCTCAGCCCCCTTTCTCCTGGTTTCCCACCACCACCACCCCACCCCGCCTCCTTTACTGTTGGGGGTGCCAAGAGAGCAGGAATAATTGATGGCTCATTAAAGTCTCCCTTCCTGCAGACTGCTTATTTGCAGTCTGTCCCAGAACAGGCGGCTGCTCTGGGCCTGAGGACTGGGGTCTCATCAGAACCAGGGTCCAAGGACTGAGAAATCCACACAGAGAAGGGCAGTGCAGTCCAGGGGCTCCACCACGAGGACAGCGCTGGTCTTCCTGATTTATCTCACTGGTGCCTGGCACAGAGCAGCACTCAGTCACTGCTGAGTAGGGAGCATGGTAGGTGGGGGCCCAGGCTTCTCTCTGTTAATCCCAAAATCTAGGACCCCACCAGTAGAATGAGCACCTGCTGTGTAGCAGGCTTTCATGTCCATTATCTCTGATCCTCCAGCAACCCTAGAAAGCAGGATGATCTCCATTTGCAGATAAGGAAATGGAGACTCCCTGAAGTGAAGTGGCATCACGCACATCACTAGTGGTGTAAGAAACCAGGTTCAAACGCAGACAGAACTATACACAGCAGAACTTTTCTATCTTGTACAAAAGAAAGGTCCAGCTGTGTCGATCGGCTCATGCAGGTCTGTAGGCTCTAAAGAAGGAAAAGAAACTCCAAGGCGTCCACCTAAGTGGAACACACACTAGCAAGCATCACAGGGGCCTAGGTGGGCTCCTGAGATGAGTGAGACACACTTAGGAGACTCTGTCCCCAAAGGACTTAACAGTCCCCTCATGTGACTTGAGCTAAGAGGAGCTGGAACCCCAGGGAGGCTGGACAGAAGAGGGGCTGTCTTTTTTTTTTTTTTTTTTTTAGTTATGGTAACATGTTACATGAAATTCACCATTTTAACCATTGCAGCCATCACCACTGTCTACTCACAGAACTTTTTTCATCTTGTAAAACTGAAACTCTAGACCCATTAGCACCAACTCCATTTCCCACTCCCTGCATTTCCTGGTAGCCTCCATTCGATTTGGTGTCTCTCTGACTTTAATGGCCCTAAGGAAGAAGGTGGCTTCAGGAGGCCCGTGAATGACGCCATAGGTAGATGTGAACATACATAAGTCCGTGCCATCTCCTTGGATGTGACATAGGAACTGTGATGTGGGAGCACTTCTTAGTAGAAACAGCTGTGCCTAGGGTTATGGTGGAAACCCCTAGCGGGTCTCCTAAATGTGTATTCCACTAGGGACAGTTGTTAGGAGACCACACAGGTGCCCGGAAGCAGTACAGGTGTTTGCAGAGAAAGCACAGAGGACCGCTGATTCACAACCCTTTCAGTGGAAGGTGAAAAGAATGAGCCAGAACTTCCCAGTGCTTTCAGAAACTGGCCCGTGGCTCTTTGGTGTGCGTGTATTCTTTATGGCGTGAAATCTCCTCTTGGAAACTCACAAACATATTTCCGTATCACTGTGGGGTTCTTGGTAACCCCAGCCTTGCCTCTGATTTTAAAGTTGCAGAAGCTGAGAGAATTGATCTCTTATTGACATGATGGGGTGTGTGTGCCTTGCTCCAAATAACTGGCCACAGGCCTTTGGAGACAGGGAAAGATCACTGCCACAGTTCTCTGAAGGGAGCTCCCAGGAAATGCTGCCTTAGTGAGGTGGTGTGTGGAGGACGGAGGGAAGGATATCTTTTGAGAACCAACTACCGGTGATGGAGTCTGCCAGGAGGGGGCCTGGACTCCAGTCTACACCCTCGCACTTCCTAGCTGTGTGACCCTAGGACGGTGATGGCAGATCTTTTAGAACTTTCAGTGACACAGCCCTCTGTGGCACACATGCCATAGGCTTGCCACCACTACCCTAGGCCAGCTACCTGCCCTCACTAAGCTGCAGCATCTGCCTGCAAAAGGCCATGGTGAGAATAGCTGAGCTACTGCATGTAGGGTGCTTACCGGTTGGCTGGACCTGGCAAGAGCCAGACAGGGATAACTATCTGTGTCACTGAGATGAGTGTCCAGGATAATCCACTAGTGGAACAGGGATCCACCAACCAGCAACAGTTTCTCTGTACCTTTGGCAAGTTAGTAGATACCATAGTTGAGGATTGACTTTCCTCTCTGTGAAGAAGCAATAAATACTGTCTTGTTCAGGAATGTTCTGCGGTTGGAAATATAGTTGGGTGCCCGGGACCAAGTACTTGCTTAGTAAATGGAGTGACCTTCCTTCCTTGCCTGGGCACTGCCTGTAGATTGGCATCCAGGCCATACTCCTGGAGGCCTTGAGGGTGGGTGTGTGTCAGTGGGCACTGTGGGAACATGTGCCTGTTTGCACCGAGAGCAAAAGTTCCTGCTCCTTTAAGTACATTTCATTTGAAGGACAGCCCAGATGGAATTATACCCCACAGCCTGGCAAAATATTCTCCTCCTAGAGAGTGTAACCTTTAAATCTTGCAAGTTCATTGTTGTTGTTAAGGGCCTGCTGGATTGTCCTTTCCTGTTTGTATTTTGTGGGTCTTTGTATGTCGTCTGGGTTTTTAGTGCAGATATACTGGCATTGCTCTTCCTTCCCCAGCTCTTCCTCCTGCCCTTTGTAAAGGGTGAGCCTTTAAGACCTCGGGTTCAGGGGTCTGACCCAGGCTATGACTTTTGGTCCAGGTCCCTGCCCTGGAAGACAGTTCTCCTGTCACCAGCCCCTATGTCCCCTCCTGTTCCCTCTTAACATAAACAGAACAGCTTGTATTCCATGTCTGAATAGTAAACCTCCTATCTAAAGTTTGCTTTAATATTTATGCGTTCAGCACTACTGCCTGTTTTTGAGCTCCATCAAAGGCTTTATTATAAGAGTATTTGAAAATGCTGGAGAAGTAGAGAGGCGGAGTTGATGTGTGTGCCATCTTCCTCACTCTCTAGCCCGCCTCATCCTTGGCCTCCTCTCCATCTCCCCTCATCCCTCTTACTCTCTCTCCCCCACCCTGTAGCATCTCTTTCTCCTCTCTCTCTCTCTCTGTCTCTCTCTCTCTCTCTCTGTCTCTCTCTCTCTCTCTCTCTCTCTCTCTCTCTCTCTCTCACACACACACACACACACACACACACACACACACACACAGCAAAGAGAAGTCTTCCCCAAGACCTCTGGGAGGAATCTGTTCAATATTTATAAACTGCTGCAGAAACTATAATAACCAGAGGTAGCTGGTACCACCAAGATACAACACTCCAAACAGAGCTCTCCTCTAGAAACGAAGACTGAGCCCAGAGGAGGGGTGGGTGGAGGGCGAGGGGTGGACTGCACTGCTGGTGTAGGTTGTAGGGGCTGTGAAGGAGCACCAGGTTAGGTCATAGACCTGCTTTCGGCTTTGCTTGGTGACTGGCTGGATGCATACCTGCCTCCTTGGGGTTACAGGCCTCTTTTTGGCGGTACTGGGGATTGAACCCAGGCCCTCCCATTGAGCTACATTCCCAGTCCTTTTTTGTATTTTTTTATATAGGGTCTCACTAAGTTATGTAGGCTGGGCTCAACCTTGTAATCTTGCTGCCTCACCACACCCAGCTAACAGTCCATTTTCTGAGAGCCGTGCCAGCTCTGATATTCAGTGACCTGACTAAGAGTGTGGCCCCCGCCAAACCACCACACGTCTGCCCAGCCACTAAAACCCCTTTACCCACTACAGTGCCCCTAGGGTCCGACCTAGATGAGGACATTGCAGTCCCATGCTCACAGGCTGGGCTGCTTTGAGGTGCTCCAGAGCAGGAGTTTGCCCAGGTGGGAAGCAGGCAAGATGAGATATTGCACAGGTAAGAGGATGCCACTGCAGGGACCAGCCCCACCCCAGTGGCTTTGGGGTGCCCTTTTCCACTGCTCACACAGGTTCTGGGTTTGAATTCCAGCTCTTCTCCCAGCCTAGACATAGGGCAAGTCTCCTCAGTCTCTGGTAGCTCAGCTTCCTTTGCTGTGAGCAGGGATAGTGTTGTCTGCCTCACCTCTTGCTGCAGAAATTAAGTGAGGAGCATCTGTAGTGCCCAGCACACAGGCAGCTCCTCCTGTTCCCCCACACCCTGTGCGACACTCACCTCTGAGAACAGGCCGTCCTGCTCCCCATGGCCTGACTGACTGTGGAGACGCCCAGAGGTTGGTGCTGTGAACAGGGAGACACATGTTCTTCCCAGGCCTTGGCGGAGGGCGTTCAGCAAGGAGACTGATAGAGACTGGTTTCCTCCTCTTTGTGCATCCCAAGATTAGGTCCCTCTGGGGAAGCGGGCTTTACTGTTGGAAAATCACTGCCTCAGAGGATCTGACTTTCTCTACGTCCCCCGCTCCTGGGTCTGAGAAGACATTAGGAGAGCAAAGTGTTAGTTCAATCCATTAAGACTCCTACTTCCAGACCGTGCCTCTGGGGGTATTAAATGCTCTGATGGTCATTTCTCTCTCTCCTGGGACAGCGATGCTATCACTCGCGAGTGAGTAAGAGATACCACTTACACACAGCCCAGAGCCGCTCCCGAGGCTCCACTCCTGCTCTCCCGTCACCTGGCCCCCTCTGTAACCATGGGGCTGCAGTAGGAGGCATCACAGTCATTTGCTGATAGATGTGATGGATGGGCCTAACAGAGGAGAATGATTTCCGAGGGGAAGACACACAGCTGGCACATGTCTAAATCCCAAATCCCACTTTCCAGCACACGTCCAAAGTAATAAAGAGGAAGGAGGAGAAACGAAGAAGTAGCAGGAACAAAATCGTTTGGGGGGGCACACTTCTCTCTCCCCAGTTTCTGTCTGATCTCCATCAGCAGATGTTTT